GGAATGCCGTGTACCAATGGATGAATGACAGGATCAGGGGTAGTCACTAAGCCGGTGTGGCGGTGAGGCACCACCACAGGCTCCCGAAGGGGAGAGGGTAAACCCCGCGGGCCCCATACCCCGGGAACAGACCCCTGGCAGGGATAACTTACCTCCCGCAGGGGAGCCAGAGCAGGAGCTGTGACCGCGGCCGCAGCCGCACGAACCGGCGTTACGCCAGCTGTCTAATCAGCTGTTTTCGGTGCAGGAGACAGCCAGACCAATCCCAGCAGCCGTACTGGCCACTGCGGGAAAGTTTAAAAGCCCCACCGGAACTAGGGTGGGTGGAGAGCCGAAGAGAGAGAGCGTGGGCTGGCAGCACTCTAGGCGGGCTGTGGCTCCAGCTCGGGAAGGGAGCGACACAGCCTGTGCAGCTCCCGCAGGCAGCACCAGGGAAACCTTTAAGCTCCCTGCCGGAGGCAAAGCAGAGGAAGCCCTCCAGCTCCCCGCAGAAGTGGAGATTGAGGAGGCATGGGATTTCCCTGCAGGCAGCAGGGGGAAGGAGGCATTTGAGCCCCCTAGAGGAGGCAGGGGTAAAGGGGCAGCTCTGCAGCCCTCTCCTCCTCCAGGGAATATTTCTTCTGAGCTAAGAAAACCCTGAGAAGGAGGAAAAGCAACAGAGACAAGGCAGGCAGGCCCCGGGCCATCCTACAGGGCTGAAGATCATCGTTAACAGATATCCACCCGGTTGGCGAGTGGACGGGGTGTAGGGGAGGTGGAGCCCCATGGAACATCGCGCCAAACAACTGTGAGTACTGCCATCTATCGGGAGGGCCTCCTGGGAAGATCTTCACTGAAAACCCCCTCTCATGGTAGTTTGACATCATGGCAGGTGAGTCGAGGGGAGGGGATACACCCTGACAGGCCGTGCAGCACGCAAGGTGCAAGATGTCACAGTCAGTCACTTGAGTCTGATCTTCGAACAGTGTTCGATATAGTGTGCTGTGAGGCAACAATTATATTTTCTTTCCTTCCTTCTTATTTAATACATTTTTCTCCAAAATTAAGAAGCATTCAAGTCAGGATTGTTGCAGCATATGTTGTTTATTATTTGGACATAATCTAAGTCACGAGTGATATAGGACTGTAGATTTTGCCTATAAATTGATCACTTTAGATGTATTGGCCTTAAAATAACAGCTTAAGAAAGTTACGGACATTGCAAGAAATTAACTCTTGTAATCCCACACTGGGATGATACCACTGGTTCACCATCACAGTTGGTATGTAGAAGGGGTGTTGGGGAGGTGGAGCCCCAAGAAACAAGCCAAGAGGTAACCCTCTTCTTGAAAAGGGTGGGAAACCATATAATGTAGGTGCTTCTTTTCTTTTGCAATATGTAATTGAGTAATCAAGTCATGGCAGATGAATACAGAAGGACTTTGTACTCCCCCCCTTCCTTTTATTTGTGGGCAAGACCCCAGGGGGCAACACTAACAATAAAGAACATGCTGGCATCTGAATATTGGCAAACAACTCGGGTGAAAAGCTGTACAGAAGATATTTTGTCTGTTTCTGTTTCTTTCTTGGAAATATAATCCTTCTTTAATTACTCTTCTTGTATTTTATATTGAAGGGACTGAAACCACATCATTGTTAAAATGGCTTCAGAAGAAATGAATTATTTAAATGAATATGAGTTCTAATGCAAGACAGTATTTTTTGCCCACAAGATGGGAAAATATGTTCCAGGAAAAGGTAACTTTATAAAATTATGTTCCATGTAAAAGTAATGAGTTGCTGAAAAACATGTCAACACTGTGAATTGCAGGACTTTAATTCACATGATTGTTGATACTACCCCTGGCACTTTTTACCCAAGGCTTCTGGCAGATATTACAATTTAAATGTGGGTAACCTGTTAATTGTGCTGTAGATAGTAAACCTGACACATGTTCAGAAGATTAATGGCATGACAAAATAGGAAACCAACCACAAAAATGTTCCACAATTGTTAGGATCAGAGATAAAATCCCATTATGCCATTAAATGAATGTGTGCCAGGGACCCAGGAGAAAGGTTTTACCAGTTTCTTTATACTTCTGATACAACTTTATTGCTATGTTACATCAAGTAATAGTGTGCCATGTGGAATAACATGGAGCCAATTCCATTTATCTGCTTCACCTTCCCCTTTCTTTTGATGAAGTTTGGGTGCCTGAAAGAGGTAGATACTTTGTGGGTATCTATGGTCATAGTACTACTATGCCTTATATCTATATTTGTATCTCAATGCATCCAAGTTCTTTAACTCACATACCTAATTACTGCTATTATTTGCCTCTTAAATATCCTAATGTTTTTTATTTGGTTAGCATAACTTTTTATTGTATGCAATATATTTTGTGGTGATTGTGTGCTTGATATTTCCCTCTGATAATGTGTTACTCTGAAGTTAATTGAAAATACTCATGTTGTTTAACAATTTTAACAATACTGTATTATATTTCCATTATATGTGTATTGTTCAGGACTTTTTTTCCTACTGGAAATGAATTAAGAATAATACTCAGCCATTGCATAGTTTGCAGTGTGATTTGAATATCAAACTGGATATCTAATCCTTCCAACACCTCTGGGTTGTTGGTATTGTCTGTTTTACGGATCAGTATGCTAAGTAAAAGTTAAATTATGTCATCAAGGTCACTTATGTGTTAGTGTCAAAGCAAAGACAAGCATAGGCTTGTGATCAAAACACTAAATCTCACTTCAATTATAATGCATTTTTCAGGATCCACAGTGTCAGCATTTCACCCTAGACCACGCCAATATATTGACTCATAATTTTTGTTTCTCAAGACAGGATCTGGAATGCTGATGATGGTCATTACCAGGTAAAATCCTATTAGAGTGCTCCATCTCCTCCCCTGTGTTTAGGAGTACATTTAGAAATGCAACAGATATGAAACTTTAGAAGCACAGACACTTCAGAAAACTATTATTGAGGCATTAAATATAATATTAAAAAAGGACTGTAGCATAAATTATATAACTGTTATGCATACTTGGATTCTTGGCTCACTGAGGGTAATTAATGCAACAGGTAAAGAAGTCTGGGAAAAGACTCATCTGACGGAAATGACATACAATGGTTTGTTCTGGTTTCTAAGGCTAGGAGAGACAGAACTGAATTGGGGTGAGAGTCGCACATACAGAGAAACACAGATGGGAACAATTGATATCTATATCCAATAAGGGTAGTAAGTAGGAAGCTTAACATGCATGTAAACTGTTGTTTTATTGTATCTTTTCTCTGTAAAACTTTTGCCCTGAGATAAATAATAGTGTGCTTGTGAAAACTGGCTGGTCACTGTTCTTGAAAGAGAAAAGGATAATAGGTACTTTTCTAAAAGGTCAGTCCTGCTAGGGATAATTACAGTGTACTGCAAGGGGACAGCAGCCTCAAAGTCTATGTTTTAAAAGAATGGAGTACGGGTCCCCAGAAAAGAAGAGTAATGACTTGAGGCACAGGGAGGAGGAGGACAAGAGGATGTCAAATACATGGTTGCCCCAGAACAGTGACAGGTTTCTGAAAAAAAATACACGCAGCTTTGCATAATTTTTAAAAAAAAGACTATGGACTCAAAAATAGTGCATATTTAAATGTGGAACTCTTAATTATATATGTCTTCATGAATGAATGAACAGATTTTCAAAGAGGTAGAATACAGTATTTAATCTACCTGAAGGATTAAGTGAATGTCCACAGAATGCTAGAGAGGTTCAGAGTACAGAGGGCTTTGGGAAGGATTCAGAATTGAGTCTCATATATTTTTTCTTTAATAAAGCAGAGGTCCATTTCTCAGATCCCCTTCACTTCAAAGCTGCTGTGGGTGGAGAGTAACAGATATAAGTCTTGCCATGAGCTTCCTGCAAATATGGCACGGGGATTGAGGGTTGAAGTTATGATGCAGTGCTGAGGTGTTGCTTAATGCTGTTATCATTGAAACAAATATTTACCAATAGTTCCTCAGGCTGCTCAGTCACTGAAAAACAACTTCTTATTGGGAAATATTCCATAAATAGCTTAAGTGGAAGAAACTTCTTATACCTTCTTTGGTATTGTTATATACTGGTACTAAACTATTAAGTAGCTGAAAAAGGTTTAGATGCAATGTGGAATAGGGCACTTTGTACCTGAAAGCTTTCCAACATCTTGCCCAACTACACAGTTGGTCCAATAAAAAACCCTTGCCTCGTGATGCAGAATGGACATTTACATTAAAGTACAATCTCTCTTATGCTTCTGGTACAGGTTCATTTAAAAGTGCTATGACATCTGATCCCTGATCCCAATGGGCATTTTTACATGAACTCCAGGGATGTGGGGTGTGCGGGCCAGGAGTGACCCGAGCCCTTTTCCGCGCTGCACGCGGGCTGTGGCCAGCAGCCCGGGCACGCCGGGTCGGAGAGGGAAGGCCGTCGAGCTGGAATTAGGCACAAACGCGTAACGGTAGTTTAAAAGATTGTTTACTTACACCGAGATGGCAGTGGTGCAGGCAGGAAAACTTGATTGAGTTGCAGTTACAGACAGACAACACAGACGGTCTCGTGGAGGTTGCTAGGCTCCACGGTGCAGAGCTCCGGATGCTCTGGGTGAACGAGCCACCAAAATAGAAATCGTAAATACGTCTTATAAAAGTCGCGCTCGAAGACGGGAAGAGGTGGGCGATGGATCAGGCCGCCAAGCTCCTCTGGATCTCACACAGGGTTTCTATTACCCTGCCGTGTACCCAGACAATCATGCCTTTTGGGTCATGACATGGGGAAGAGGCACTTTATTTAGAATAGCTCTGAGAGCCACTCTAATAAAGTGCCCAGAGGGTCTTATTACGGGAGAAACTGATTATTGGGTAAACAAGGATAATCCTAATATCAGTGTACTCAGAAGCTGTGCCAGACAGTAATACTTAGTTCTGCTGTTCAAAGTAATCAAGAAGCTAAAATTGCATGAACCTGTTTGTGGTTTTAAGGTACGTGTTTGCTAGGCTCCTAGGGCACATATACATGTGTCCAACACCTGCTCTGAAGCATGCTAATTATGCATTGGAGCAGACTCAGTTAATTGAGTCTGCTGAAGCATGCTAATTAGCATGCCCCAGCAGTCTCAGCGACACATGTATTCAGCATCCCCATGCTTCAAAATGGCGGTGGGGGGGCTTTATCTAAAGCTTGTTAAATGAGCTTTAAAGCACCTCCACTGCCATTTTGAAGCACAAGGACACATACACAAGATGTGGAGGCTGGCCAGAGCATGGTAATTACCATGCTCCAGCAGACTTGATTTAACCACGCTCTAGCAGGCCCTGACTTGCCACATGTTCAATGTAATGTGACATACAAATCATCCATAAAAGTCTCCTATGTTATATGTAGAACATTTTTATGGCTGGTTTCCCATTTATGGCAGCTTAAATTGGGTGCATGTTAACATGTTAATTGTGACATACACGTAACATGTAGAGGGGGGCCTCGATGATACTCCTATGCCTGATTTACCACAATACATTAGAAACAGTAAGGTTCAGCTGCTCAAGAGCAGGAGGATAGGGTCATAGGCATGCCACAGGAATGGGTTAAGGTGTTCTTACAAAGCTGCCACAAAAATTTACCAGTTCTGCTTCTTTTTTGTCTTGACAACAGCTGATGATTAAGAATAAGGATATTGTAGTTGTCTGTCAAATTGGAGCAGACGGAATTTTGCAAGTCCCAAATCTAAATGTAACCACTAACCATAAACCTGTCCTGTTGTGTAGCCATAAATGTGTAGGGTCCTCCAAAATATTATACTTCCTGAACCACATTATAGGAATGTGGGGGACAGGTCAGGAAGGAACCTCTTGAATCATTCTTATGACAGGCAAATACATCATGCAAACCCTTTCATAACCTTATCACATTCTATATTTAAACCATTTATTTTTCTTGCCCCCCTCCATGCCTACTGAAAAGCTGTTCCAGAATTTTACTTTCTGATACTTGGAAGCCTTCTAACTTCCAGCCTAAATTTATCTGTGGTCAGGGGGGGTATCTACATGAGATGCTTACTGTGGAGTTGCCTAATTAGCTTTGCAGTAAAGCATCACTATCTACACGTACGGAGCTATTAGGCTGAAGTAAACTAATTAACTCTGCCCTGTAGCGTCCCTCCTGGTGAGAATGCCTCTCCCAGGCATGTGGGGATCAGGACCCTCCCAGTCCCCATGTGGCTGCCAGGCAGTGTCCCCACCAGGCAGGGACACTTCTCCCAGCCATGTGGGGATCAGACCCTCCCAAGCACCACATGGCTGCCAGACAACAGGGACACTTCTCCTAGGCTCATGGGGATTGGCACCTTCCTGGTCTCCATGTGGCTGCCAGGCAGCATCCTCAGGTGGAGCACCTCTCCCAGCCATGTGGGATTGGGACCCTCTCAGTCCCCACATGGCTGCCCAGTAGTGTCCCCACTGGGCAGAAACTCCTCTCCCAGCCACACGGGAGGTTTCCACTGCTGGTCTCCACTTGGCTGCAAGGCAGCATCCCCACCACGTTGGGACAGTTCTCCCAGTCATATGGGGATTGGGTCCCAATCCTCCCAGCCCCAGGCTGGGACCCGGGGGAGCCTGCAGCTCTCCCTGGCTGCTAGAGCAGGGCAGGGAGGCAGGAACATCCCCGGTCTCAAGTGCTCATTACTGCGCATTAATCGCACATGTACACGTGCCCAATGTCACTTTTACTCTCAGTTTGGCACTTATTGATCACTAGAAGGATACAAAATGTATAAACATGTATATAGTTTAATAAGCATTTGCTCAGATGCTTAATTTTTTATGCTATCATTTTATGATAGCATAAAAATGGACTAGAAAATGGTCAGTGATGCATTTTGGTTTTCAAAATGCAGCTTCATTTTTCTCACAATTTGTATCAATCTGTATTTTGCTGGAAATACCAACAATGTGCACAAAAATAACATTTAATATTTTTAAGTAGTTAACTAAAACTACCCAATATGTGCAGAATACATAACCTTGTCTTTTTCTTTGTTTTCAAAATGTGTTTTGCATTGAAAACTAATTTATTAAACTTAAGACCTTTCTATAATTAGCTAACTGAACTGATCGTGTCCTTCAACATTTTAGACTAGGGGTATTAAGCATATGGCCTGAGGGCCAGATATTGGTATGTTTCCACCAGCCTGTGGGGCTCTTTGTGGGCCCAGGAATTCAGGAGTGGGTCAAGGAGGAGGGCATGGAGTCTGCTGCAGAATTCAGGGTTATAGAGTTCCACCGGGGGGGTTCCTCTGCTGGCAGCAACAGCTGTGCTGCCACTATGCCACTCCTACCACCACTGTTTGCTCTGATGTTGTTAGCCTCACTGCCATTGGACCCAGAGATATAGTAGATCTCATCTTCTTACACCTTGCTTTTATTTGTAGATAACAGGGAAAGAATCTTTTTCTGCTTTGTCATCTCTTAGTATATTTCTAATTTTGAATGAGCTATGTGTTGAATGGAACTAGTTGACATGAAGTGAAATGAATACTATATTTTCTCTGCCTCTACAAAACGGGTTACTGTTTAATTTGGAACCATATTTTTATTTGCTCTTTGTATTTATGTTAAAGTTTTTAGTAAATTACAGAGATACCGAATTTGGTGTCTAGATTGTATCATTCTACACAGATATTGCTTTAATAATTTTAATGTGAACGTCATAATTTCTCATTTAATTTTAAGTTTTATTTTAAAAACATTTTTAAATTGTTTGTTTTACATTTTAAAATGAATTTATTTAAATTATAGTATACATTTTTAAAACCTTAAATTTGCATCTATTCAGAACTGAATTCTGTGTTTCTTATGTGAGTGACCGTTACCAAGAGGTAGGTGTCCCCTGGCTGGAACAGGTGGTCTCAGGGTTGCCCTTATTTATTTACCTGACTTCAGTTCAGGGGGCTCAGCTTCCCCATGCAACATTTACTTGGGAGGAAAAAAAAGGAGTAGGGCTTTCCTTGCCCTACTCCACTGAAGTCACACTGACTTCAATGAGACTGCTCCCATGATGCCTGATTGTAACCCTATATATGACAAGCATAGTTGGATAATATTAAATTGGTATAGCATTGCTGGACAGTTTTCCTTACGGGTTCCTCCCCTTTCCTTCAGCTACTACAGTTGCCAGCCCTAAAGCAAGTGAAAGGTAGTGGTGAGAGAACCAACTGTTGGATTTAATTTGTCTTTGTGTAGCTCCACTGGAATCCCTGGGGTTACTTAGGTAAACAAGTAGCAGAATCAAGCCCTTGTCCCCTGTATGCTCATGTGACATAATTACTAAACTTCAATGGTTTGAGAATTATTTTGATCTTCAGAACGATTATATATGCTTTCATTTTTCAGTTCAAAGAAAACTTGACAGTTTTGGTTGGAAGTCAGATCCCTCTTGGAGGGCTCTAATCGCTAGAGAGCACTAGTGCCTGGTGTTTATTATCCATAGATTCTGGAACTTTTAAATGTTACTACTTCCACATGACAAACTTTCTGTATCTGGTGGGGAAAAAAAGCAGTATTTGTTGCATGCAGCCATTGTTCGATCTTGTTCAAGGTGTAGTATCTTCCCATGAAACTCTATATCCTAATGTAACTTCAGAAAGAATATTTAGTTTAACCTTTGTTTGAAGAAATGAATTGGAGATCACCTTGATATCAAAACAAAGGAGGTCATATTCAAACAGAATTCAATTCTATCTGATTGGAAGTTTAAAGTATTCAAGTGGCAAGAGCTGGATAATGAGCATAGGAACAAAGTATTGTGAATTCTCAAGGGAGTTTAATCATTCCCTTCATAATTATTTTGTTTACTAAAGAGAGTAAGTTAATTTCTAACAATTCTAAATTGTTACTAAATTATTGGCTTTGATATTTAAGTGCCTTTCCATACTCTCATCTCTTGCCCTTTTCCATCCCACTGATTCTTTTTCTGCCTCAGATACAGTTGTCAAAAGAACATGTGGCTGTGTACCAAGGTCATGCATGGGGTATGTTTGGTAGTCAGAAGAGAAGGTCTTTCTGCTTCCATTTCCTTATATTGTATTTGCACTGACATGTATAATACTCTGCCAGAAGTCACATTGGCTTCAATGAGACTGCTCCCATGATGCCAGATTGTAACCTTATACATATGTTCCACTGTACAGAAGGAGACATAAGAGCACAGCTATTTCCTTTGTAGGTTGTGTCATTAGTTGGGATCCTGGTTTTCTCTGTTTTAAAATCACAAATCCTCTGATTTAAAAAAAATAAAATCACCAAATTCTATAACTAAACCCCCCCAAATCTGCGTTTTTTAACCATTAAAATGAAACACCGCTATACGTATGTATGTATTTGTTGAACAAAGTGTTTTATATATTTACAATTTTAAGGCAATTTGGAAGCCCACCAGTGCCTCAATCTTTAGGATAAAATACAGTCTAAATACCTATATATTTTGGTATTTGATTTTGGTTTTTTATCATAGAAAATCAGAGCTCCCCCTGCCCCCTTCGCTCACCAGGATGCAGGTCCCTCTGTGACTGTCTGCCCCGCTGCTTTGTGACACTGAGCAGCCCAGATATGCTAGTGCCCTTCCCCTGCCCCTCACTCCCAAGCCACAGCTCCACCAGCCTTGCTAGTGCCCTTCATTCCTGACATGCAGCCCCCTGTCTCTGCCATTGACCCTAACTCCTGACCCACAGCTTTCTACCCACTCCAGCCAGAGGGGGCCCCCAGCTGGCCCCATGTAGACTCACAGGACTACAGTGGGGGAAAGGGCCAGAGGTGGGTCCCTTTGGGGGTGGCGGGGAGCTGCATAGTTGGGCTGCCGGGATCAGTACTTGTGCTCCCAGGGGCAGCCGTGTGCTGCCCGGGTGGGAGGACCATGGCCAGACTGCCTGGTGCAGTGTGGAAGCCCCAGGTCAGGACAAAGTGTTGCCAGTGGTGTTGCCCTCCTCTTCCCACCAGCCTGCGCCTGGGTTGGACTCACTCCACTGCTGGCCACAGCATGACCCAGGCCAAAGCCACACTTCCGGTCCTCCCTGCTGCAGTCCTAGACCCAGCCCCAGTTCCAGCCGGCAGTGCAGGATGGTTTGTGATGCCCCAGCTGCTGCCTGTGCTTCCAGCCACGAAGCTCTGGACACACCTCCCCTCTTCCTCCGCTGGAGGGGCAGGCGCTTCTGGGCGGGCCCTGCTGGCAACAGTGTGAAGCTGGAGCCATCAGCAGCCCCAGGCACTGGCTTACACCACACTGCAGCCTCAGGAGCCAGACTCCTTCCCCCAGCGCCGGCAGACACCAGCAGGCACAGACTCCTACGTGCGCACACACCCTTCACACCCCCATCACAACCCCCCCCCGCCAACATAGCCCCCCAGACAGTCCTTAAGCCCTGGTCTTCCACCCTCACGTCTTATAGACTTACCTGTATCCAGCTGCCAGGGCTGCTCCCACCACCCCAAACAACTCCTTGAAGCTGGAACACCGCCAGCCTGCAAGGGGAAACCTATCGTTTCCTGCATCAAAGGGGTTAGGACCTGTTTTTCTCTGTCAAAGAGGAAAATCCATATTTTTCCATAGGAAATGGAAAACCTGGATCCCCGGTCATTAGGGAGGATTGCAGGTGAGGTTTGTTGAAGGATACTACTTGGACACATCAGTTTTGCACTATGTCTTCTAGCCACAAAACATATCATTACATCTCAACTTAAATTAGATTAGGTTTCTTGAACTCTGATGGCATAGGAAGAAGAGGTGTATGATTAAGCTAATTACAGAATGGGCACCACTCAAAAGAGTAAGAATCAGCTCTCTCAACCTGGCTCTCCAGAGCAGGCACTAAAACAACACCAGTCAAGTGGCTCAGGGCTCCCCTTATTTATTTACTTGACTTCAGCCTGAAACCTGGCTCGCATTCCGCTGGGGTACAGTGTGCAGTTCTGGGCTCTACATTTTAGGCAGGACCTAGAGAAACTGGAAAAGATCTGGAGATGAACAACAAAGATGGTAAGCAGGTTAGAATGAAAAATGTACAAGGAAAGGTTGAGAAAACTAAACAGCTAGTTACATTTAGTTTGGGAGGAAAAACATGAGATTAAGGGGAAGACTTGAAAGACAGCCATAGCGAAGAGGGGAAACAACTGTTCTGCTTTGCTGTAGAGAACAGGACACAAAGCAACAGGTTCAAACTACAATAAAGTGGATTTAATCTCAGGGGAAAACATCTTTTATTACTAGGACAACTTCTACAGCAGGGGTGGGCAATTATTTGGACCTGTGGGCCACAAAGGGAGTTGCAGGCCAGGTCAGCTCCCCGCTCTCCCCCCTGCACAATGGCTCACCAGAACTGGTCATGATAGTGTGGGGGCAGGACCCAGGGCAAAGCAATGATCTGCTGCCCACACACTCCCGTGATGGGTGCCGGTTTTGCAGGCAGGGACATGCAGGGAACAGATTGTGGCCCTGTCCCAGGCCCCAACCCTGTGCTGTCACGACCCAGTGATCCTGGGGTCTCCACGGAGACCGGCCAGGACTTGAATGGGCGGGGCGCGTAGCTAGGCAGACAGCATGGGGCCGCAGGCGGGCAGGGAGCTGTATCCAGGGCCTGGTCTGGGATCTTTGGGTGGTGACAGCGCAGGGCTGCCCCCTGTGCCTGGGCTGGGTGGGACCAAGGGACCGGTTGCTGGTGGACAATATCTGTCAGCTGACCAGATCTGGCTGTGGGCCATATTTTGCTCACTCCTGCCTGAGTTACTCCATGCTTTCGGTGAGGCAACTTTACCCTGGAGTGCCATGTAGATCAGTCTGCAGCAAATAACTTGTGCATCTGCACCCTAACCTTATCTACACTGCAGCAACAGCAGTAGTGATGGCAGCATAGTGTAGGTGGTTGATCGAGTGTTAAATAAGGTATCTCAGGTGACAAACAGACTCAAACCTGTCTCCGGATAAACCATTTTCCCTTTGACATTAAGGGTCATGTCCAGACGAGTACGGTCATGCAGTATGTGGCACTGCAGACCAGTCTGTGGCAGTGCTGGATTTAGGCTTAAACTAGTTTAGGGACTCACAATATGAGGGACCTCTGAGTAACAAAAAAACCCTGGACATTTTCATTCTAATATAACAAAGATATACATGTATATGGCTCCACAGTTGATATTCATAGTGAGTCTATAACTTTGTGCAGAAATAACAATTCATCTTCACATGTCATGAAAATCTATTTTCGTGGATTACTTTTATCGCATGCAGCCTCTTAAACTGGACATAGTTTAGGGCCTCAGCATGTCATAATCCAGCACTGCTCTGCGGCACCACACGCTGCACCTCGGGGCCTTCCCCGCGCTGCCATCTCGTAGCACTGGGGGGGAAGGTTGACTCCGGGAGATCCCGGGGGCACCCCCCGAAACTGCCCCGGCCGGAGCTATGCTTCCGTTGCCAGCTGCTTTTTAGACTAGTAGGAAAATGCAGCAGGGGCCTCAGTGCACGGGCTTGATGAGGTGGCTGCTACGGGCTCCTTCCTCTCTCCTGCCGTCCAGCCCCGCCCCGCCCCGCCCCGCGGGACAAGCTCGGGGCCGAGCCGGCCGCGCCTACCCCCCACTGGCTGCAGTTCCGCGGCACGGGCAGCAAACGGCGCCACCCACTGGCCTGCTCACCGGCGCTCTGGCATCCCGACTATCAGCTCTATGACCCGGAAGCGTTGCAGAATGCAGCCCTAGAGACTCTATGGCCCATTTGCTAATTCCACTTCCGCTTTTCAGTCCCGCCGACTTCCGGTGGCCTGTGCGTAGCCGGACCGAGGTCGGGGAGCGGGCAAGCGTGTGGCGTCCGAGTGAGGGGGCGCGACCGCTG